TTAAGAGAAAATCCACAGATTGGGAGAACATCTTCAGTTGCTATAAAACGAGCAATGGCCCCATAACCAAAATACTTTTACAAATCAAAAAACTTATTCCTCCAAAAACAAATCCTCAAAGAAACAATTGCCCCACCAACAAGTGGGCAAAGACTTAAAGAGAGACTTCTCTTAAGAAGTAATAAAAATGTCCAATAGCTACAGGAAGAAATACTGAATTTTGTTGCCGTAAACAAAAAAAACTATCAAATAAAAACAATATCGAGAGTCCACCTCACCCCAGTTAGAGTGGCTGTAACGAAGAAATCCAATAACAATTGCTGGAGAGTATGTAGCTAAAACCCCTACTACATTTTTGGTTACAGTGTTAACTGGATCAACCTCTCTGGAAAGCAGTATGCATTTTCCTCAAAAGACTACACATAGAGATCCCCTATGACAGCAATCTCACTTTGGGGCATTTATCTAAATAAAAACAAACAAGGCCATACTACATCTACTAGCATAACTATGCTTATTGCAGTACTATTCACCCTACCTAAAATATGATAGCAAACATGATACCCCTCAGGAGATAAGTGGATCAAAAAATGTGGTGTATGTATACAATAGCATTCTATGCTTCCAACAAAAAGAACAACATGGTCCATTTGCTAGGAAATTGAAAAATTTGGGGGAAAAATCATATTAAGTGAAGTAAGGTATTCCCAAAATAATTTAAGTCCCATGGTTTCCCTTACTTTCAGTAATTAGTATCTATAAGATAATCTTATCGGATGAGCTGAAAAGATAGAAAAAAAGATGAATATATGAGTATATAAGATGTTGATAAGTAAAATGTACTCCATGATGGACACAAGAGTTCTGTCTTTGTTGTTATTGTTTTATATATCCTAAGTGATTCTTTCATTTCCTTTGTTGGTTTTTCACCCTATGATATGTCCCCTGCTGTCATGTTAATTGGTTTCAGCACCCGGCATCTTGTGCATACATTTGTCTAATCTAGGAATGGGAAGAGGAATAACAAAACGCTGAAACAAGGACATAGGATGTCCCGTTGCATCAATGATATACTCAGGAGAGTATATTGGAGAAGAATTGTACAACTTTGGGCAGAGGAAAGGATGGGATAAGGATGACTGTGGGAGGGAGTGGTTGTGGGACAAAAATAAGGGAAGAGGTAACAAAGATCAATTAGTAATATTCTCAACGCTTTACTTTTGTACCTGTAATTCTATGTACAGCATCTTTATAATAAAATAAAATTTTATTTAAAAAAGCAAAAAAAAGAACCAATACAATTAGCAACAGGAAGGTTTTCAGCATATTATTTATTCAAGTGCAATGAAGTCTAAAAATAAACAGTATTTTCAGAAAGAAATATGTACATGACAGCAGTTTGTATGAACAATGAAAGACTTTATGGATAAAACAATAGTAATGAATGATTGCACCCATTTGTAAAATTGATTGTTAAATTTTTTATGATCGCATATGCTATCATACAAGTTGGGTAGCATTATCACATGTCAGTATTTTCAAAATGTGCAGGTAATACAGCTCTTAATATTTATTTGAATTTTACATTAGAAGATTGTAATTTATCTTTGTCTTAGGGTAAAAAAATAATCAAAACAATTTTTCTAACATTCTCATGAGAATCATTTTTAAAAAACAAAATCAATATTGCGTTGATCTCAAGCAAAATTATGTTGGATATTTATGTTTCCCATCACTCTCTGGAACAGTTAGAAAGGTAGAGAGCCTTCTGTGACTCCCCTTCATGCATTTTTTGTTTCCATATTTTGTTAATATTACATAAGCAATGTACATCCCTTCTTCATCTTTTTATTACTGCCGTAATGCAAAATCACAAAGCATTGACCCTGATGACTATTACTTGAAATTAAACAATACAAAATATATTTGAATGGTGTATTTGAATTTTTAATAGAGATATTTATGCCTGTTATTACATTGTCATATTCATCACCTCATCCTACAATCAATCAGTCAAATAATTTTTGTGTTGTTAGTCAATTGATTTTGAACCAAACAGATTTTTTAAAAAGTTCGTATCATCAATTTTTAATCATCCCAAAATACAGGAAAGAAATGATATCAAAACACATGAAAATATATTAAATCTGGCAGCCTTCAACCAAATTACATGACGGTTTTATTTTGTCCCGACCCGCAGGACGTCAACGAGGGCAGTGAACCTAAGCGAGAAGGAATGAAGGGACAAGAGACACGAAGAATGACAGCAAGACAGGGATTCTGATCAAGCTGCAAATTTTTATTTTTCAAACAGGGGTATTTATATGCTTAGGATAAGGAAGCTTTTTCATTGGCCGTTAAGGAAGCTTTTCCATTGGCCGTAGCAGTGCAGGATGTTTGCTTAGGGCAGGAGGAATGGGTGGTCGTTAACAGTTGCAGGATGTTTACTTAGGGCAGGATGAGGGTAGAATAGTGTAAACTCAGCCTCAAGATGTTCCAGTGAGATAGTCAAGCCTATTATGTTGAGAGACTCAACTTTTGGCTCCCGACAGTATTTGGGGAGGTAATAATGTTATATGAGTTTAGATATTCCTAAACAGTATGTACTGAATGTGTTTCTCCAGGCAAGTTTCAACCATTGTTAATTTGACTAGTTTAGTAAATTTCAAAACCCTGTTCATGTTGCCTATGTTCAAATAAATTGTTTTGCCCCTTCCAAAAATCCATAAAAATAATGAGAGCATCCAAATATCTGATTATTCTGAATGTGGTAGAGGTAACTTTATCACATAATAATTTTGCATTGTGAGTTAATAGGCTTTCCTGAAGAGCACTGAAAATATGAGCATGATGTAAGAATCCAAATATACAATATGCCTCTGGAAATTAGAATGCATTATTTCCTAAATGCAAATTGAACATAGTGTATTAAAGAACTATCATTACTGTTTTCTGGTCTCAAGTATGGTATTTGATTGATTTAGGCAGAAAAGTGAAAAGCAATTAAACAAATCAAATCATAATGTAGGCCTCGTATTTATTTATGTACAGAATGACTCAATCACTTTCCAAAAATTTTCTTTTAACGCATTCTGATTTGAAATGAGAAGTCATGAAATAATACACATACAAGGGGATTCTAAATGAAATCATCCTAATCAAAAAGAAAAAAAAGACCAAAACCAAAATCAAATTAAAGACGATTCGTTTATGACATTGCAGTGTCTTGTCAGGAGGATGGATAGATTATCAACATTAATATAGGTGATAATTCATTCAAGGGAAAGAAAATATATTTGAACGTGGGAATCTTATTTACTAAACAAAGTTCTTAGCAATTTTGCTATGTACAAAATGGGGGGAGGTTGTGTGTTGTGGTGTGGCAACTTTCCAACACCTGAAACAGGCTGTGGAATATGTGCACATATTTCTAAGTCAATTAGGGATTTTAAGAAATCACAATCAAAATATTCAGCATGTGTTCTTTTTTTCAATTTTTTATACTGATTAAGTGGTTACATGATTTCCCAAATTTCACAGTATTATGGGATAGTGATGCTTAGTTAAAGTCACAAACAAATTCCAACTTGCATGGGGCAAATTTTCTATCATGGACTGTAACATTTATGAGTTCTATGAGCTTTGCAATACAGTTATTTTTTCCACATGGGGTCACATGTACATTTCTTTTGTTTTGCATCTCATCAGCTGTTCGTTCTTACCCACTTGTACCCTTCCTCCCTTCGCTGCCATTGAGTTGTTTGATTCATTTTGATCAATGTCCAGTGCAGCTGATGGATCCCGCTCTTGTATGTTTTTCCCTGATTCCCGGTTGTTATGTGTTGTCCTCCTGGTTTCCCTCCGGTGTGCACATATATAGCATATATATGATCAGCAGCATGGGGTTATTCAGTAGTGATTCGACCAGATAAGTGGAAGTCCTTTCTTAAGTATTGTTAATTTTGTCGTTTCACCTTACATTTTAGATTTAACATCCACTTTTCAGGGAGACCATGTGCTGTTTGTCTCTTTGCTCTTGGCTTACCTCGCTCAACATGATTTCTTTTAGCTCCATCCATTTTTCTGCAAAAGCCATTATTTTGTTCTTTCTAATGTCTGCATAATATTCCATTATGTATAGATACCACAATTTTTGGATCCATTCATCTGTGGTGGGACATCTGGGTTGTTCCATATTCTGGGTATTGTGAACAGTGCTTCAATAAACATGGAGGTGCATGTGTTCCTGTTCAGCATAGATGCCTAAAAGTGGTATGCCTGGGTCATAAGGGAGGTTTTAAATATTTAGCTTTCTGAGGACCATCCAGACTGCTTTCCAAAGTGATGGGATAAGTGAACATTCCCACTAGCAGTGTAATAAGGTTACTCTTTCTCAGCATTTCCTCCAGCGTTTGTCATTGGCTGACTTAAGGATGTGGGCCATTCTGACTGGGTTAAGGTGATATCTCAGGGATTTCTTTATTTGCATTTCCTTCACAACCAGGGATGGTGAACATGTCCTCATGTATTTCTTTGCCATTGTAATCTCTTCTTCTGAGAAGTCTCTTTAGTTCCCTTGCCCATTTAGTAATTGTTTGTTAGGTTTGGGAAGGATTAGTTTCTTGGGTTCCCTGTATACTGGATAATACCCCTTGTCTGATATATTGGTGGTAAATATTTTTTCCCAGTTAGTTGATTGTCTTTCTAGCTTGGTTGCTATACCTTTAGCTATGCAGAAACTTCTTATTTTAAGGTGTCTCATTTGTGAAGTCTCTCTCTTGTTGTGACCCTGGGACTCTGTTCAGGAAGTTCCTGCCTGTGCCTATAAGTTCAAGTGTCTTCCCTACTCCATCCTGCAATAGTTACAGAGATTCAGATTTGATGTTAAGCTCTTTAATACATTGTGAGTTGATGTTGGCGCATGGTGAGAACTGGGGTCCACTTTTAGTCTTCAGCATGTTGCCGCCCAGTTTTCCCAGCACCAGTGGTTGAAGAGGCTGTGTTTTCTTCCAGTGTATGTCTTTGGCTCCTTTGTCAAATATAAGCTGACTGTTGGTGTGTGGTTTCATTCCTGGATCTTCTATTCTATTCCATTGGTCTTTGGGTCTGTGTTTGTGCCAGTATCATGCTGTCTTTGTTATTATGGTTCTATACTAGAGTTTGAAGTCCAGCATACAGATCCCTCCCATCCTGACTTTTTGGCCTAGAATTGTTTTGGCTATTCTAGGTCTTTAGTTGTTCCATATGAATTTTTGGATGTTTACTGTATTTCAAAAATGTATGTCATTGGGATTTTAATAGAAATTGCATTAAATTTGTATATTAATTTTGGCAGTATTGCCATTTTCAGTATATTAAGTCTGCTGATCCAAGAGCATGGAAGGTCTTTCCATTTCCTGGTGTCTTCTGTAATTTCTTCCTTTAAGTTTTTGTACTTTTTGTTAAATAGTTCTTTTACAACTTTGATTCAGTTAATTCCTAAATATTTTATTTTTTTTTATTTTGGGGGGTTGCTTCCTTTATTTCCCTCTCTGCTTGTACATTGTCAGTTTACAGGGAGGCCACTTTGTGGGTTGATTTTGTATCCTGCTACTTTGCTGAAGTGATTTATAATGTCTAAGAGTTTGGGATTGGAGTTTTTTGGGATCGTAAATGTATAGTATCATGTCATCTGCAAAAAGGGATAGTTAACTTCTTTCCCTATGTGGATCCCTTTAATGTCTTATTCTTGCCTTACTGCCCTAGCTAGGGGTTCCAGGACTATACTAAACAGGAGTGGAGACAGTGGACATCCTTGCCTTGTTCTTGATTTTAGGAGAATTGGTTGTAGCTTTTCCCCATTAAGTATAATAATGGCTATTGGTCTGTCGTATATGGCTTTTATTGTTTTAAGAAATGTTCATTCTATTCCTATTTTCTCCAGAGTTTTAACATGAATGAATGTTGTATTTTTATCAAAAGCTTTTTTGTGGAAATAATCATGTGATTCTTGGCCTTGCCTCTGCTGATGTGTTGGATTACATCTATTGATTTACATATGTTAAACCATCCCTGCATCTCTGGGATGTAATGTATGATTTTTTAATGTTTTTCTGGATTCTGCTAGCTAAAATTTTGTTAAGGATCTTTGCATCTGTGTTCATGAAGGAGATTGCTCTGTAGTCTTTTTTTTTTTTGGTTGGGTCTTTGCCTGGTTTGGGGATGAGTGTGATATTGGCATTGTAGAATGGGTTTGGGATAGCTCCTTCCTCTGCTTCTCTGAAGAGCTTGAGGAGAATAGGTATTAGTTATTCTTTAAAGGTCTTATAGAATTCTGTTGTGAATCGATCTGATCCTGGGCTTGTCCTTGTTGGAAGACTTCTGATTGCTTCCTGTTTCTCATTGTAAGATAATAGCTTATTTAATTGATTTACTTTTTTGCTCAGTTTGGGCAGCTTGTATTTCTCTAAAAATGCATCGATTTCTGCTAGGTTTTCTTTCTTTAGAGAGTACAACTTTTGAAAATAGTTCTTTATAATTGTTTGCATATCTTGGGTATTGGTTGTGATCTTTTCCCATGGCATCCCTGATCTTGTTAATTTGGGTTTCCTCTCTTCTTTTCTTAATTAATCTTGCCAAAGGTCTGTTGATTTTATTTATTTTTTCAAAGAATCAGCTTTTTGTTTTTTTTATTTTATTTATAATTTTCCTATTCTCTATCTCATTAATTTCCACTCAATTTCATCATCTCGCTCCGTCTATTACTTTTTTATTGTAAAGATTTTTTACAGAGGGATTGCAGTTACATTAGTAAGGCAATGAGTACATTACATGCTGATCAATTTTACACTGTCACATGATGTTCCACTCTCCCTGCATGCCCCAAACTCCCTCATGCCTCCCCACCCCAGTTCCAAAGTTGTAAAGTTGGTTTCCAATATATGTCTTGTGGTTATCCTTGTTGCAATAGGCCAACCTGTTCCTTATTTGAGGATTTTGTTATTCTCTTTCTGTCCCCAGATTAGACAAATATATATACATTATGCAGGGTACTAGAATTGACAAGGGACATGAGATAAGGGAAAGAATATACAAAGGAAACAACAACAAAAAATAAAATCACATAGTACATTTAAAATTAAAACTATAAATACAGACTTCTTTTGTCCATATCTCAGAATTGTTCTCACTTATCATCATGTATGATCATATGTTCATAACTTTTCAGCTTTTCAACTCATCTAATAATATTATCCTATATGTATACAAATCATTGCAAATAAGGGAAACAATGGAAATATAATTTCCTTGGAATGGGTTACATTACTTAATATGATTTTTTTCCAAGTATTTCCATTTCATAACAAAAGGTACAGTGTGGTTGTTTTTGTTGGAAGTAGAGAATTCCTCTATGTATATATATAGATATAGATAGATAGATAGATAGAAATGAATATATATATGAATGTATTTTCTTGGTCCACTCATCTACTGAGTGGCATCTGGGTTGCTTCCATATTGTGGCTATTGTTAATAATGCTATTATTTATATAGTTGTGCTAGTAGCTTTACTCTGGTCTTGTTAGTGATCATGTAGTTAACTGTCCAAAAGTAGGATTGCTGAATCATAGTGGTACTTGTATGAGTAATCTTTTCAGAAACCTATATACTGCTTTCTAGAGCATTTGAAGAAATTTATACTCCCAAGAGTGCAGTTCCTTTTTGGCCCCAACCGCACCCTCTACCAGCATCTGTTTTTATTAGATTTCTTTATTATAGCCATTTAAAATAGGATTAGTTGGAATCTCATTTTTTTCATTTACATTTCTTTTAATGCCAGAGAAATTGAGCATTTCTTCATGTGTCTATTGACTATACTTATTTCCTGTTCAGAGAAGTCTCTCTTTAATTGTTGATGGGGCAGTTCTTTCTTAAAGATTTGTTTGTCGAGGATTTAATTACTTGAGTTTTAAGTATATTTTAGACATGAGAAATATGTCTGTTGTATAGCTAGTAAATATTTTCTCCCAGTTTGTTGGGTTTCTATTGATCTGACTAGCTTTATCCTTTCTCATGCAGAAGGTCTTCAGGTTCAATCCCACTTGTCCAACCATTCTTTGATTTGTTGTGTTTATAGGTCCTTTTTAAGAAAATTTTGGATTATGCCAAGAAGCCATGGCATTTCCCCTGTTCCTTCCTGTAATGTTTTTGAGATATCTGCTTTGACTTCGAGGTCATTGATCCAGTTGTGTTTGATTTTCATACAGGATGATATATAATATTCAAATTACCATTTTCCACAGGTCTTCAACCAATTTTTACAGCACTATTTACTGAAGAGACTGTCTTTCTTCCATTCTATGTTTTTGTCTCCTTAATGAAGATTAGCTTGCTATAGGTCTGGGAGTTCATTTCTGGGTCTAACATTGTATTCCATTGGTCTTCCCAGACAAAAACCCCAACCACGCCCAAGCTCAGTCCCAGAATGTGTTTTCTCTTCTTGTTGCTCCTTCTATTCAAGTAACTACTGCAATCTGAAGCTTTCTTACTACTTTAATAATGTATTCAAGTATCACGTTTTATAGAATGATTCTCTCACAACTCTGGCCAGTACTCTATTCACATCTAAAAAGTCTCTTGAAAGTTCTTGTTCAATTGTCAATGTGCATCCTTGTGTGTGGAGCGCATATATCCACACAAAATTTCCATGAGATATCAAATTTTGTAATGTTTTATTCGGTACTAAAAATTAATAGCTAAATAACACTATTCACTGGTAAAAGCTTCTTTAGAAATAAGCATACGATGATTTTTACTGCACAGCAAAGCATTCACATATTGCAGCAATTTATCGAAGATTCCTCACCGTAACATTAAAATACCTGCGAACAATTAAATGACTTCTTTGAGAAAAACAAACATAACTTCTTTTTGCCCTTAAGGAAATTATGAAGAACCATTTTTTTACTCCTTCCAAGTAATATGTGTACCTTTTCAAAGAATTATTCAGATTTAATAGTCAGGAAAATTAAAACTTTTCTGATCTTAGTCATAATCTATTTATATATTAAAACAATTTTGGAAAGAAGAAATATTTCAAAATCAAGGAGACTTTTGGGAGTAGAGTGGAATATGACAAAACAATATTTATACAGTCTATGCAAAAGACCTTAACATACATTCTGTAATCTGGAAATAAATAACATGTACAATCATAGCAATTGTTATATATACTAGAATTCATAAATTGCATTTGGCTAATTGTACTAAAACTATTTTTTGAAGGAAATTTGATCTAGTAATTCCATTTAAAATCTGATAATGAATAGAGATTCTCATCTCATGTATATTTTTTCTTCAATTACATTGTCACAGTTCAATCCAAACTATTGTTTGTAATTAGGAAGGAAAAGTGTGGATTTTAGTAATTGTATATTGTTTCTTTTCACTTCACATTGATAAATAAGTTTCAGGTTAAAAAGTGTGTTTCTGTTGTCTCTTGTGACAATATTGGATTGTGACATTAAATTTTGGAGCTAAGATATGCTCAACCATAATGCCTAGGAGAGACAGATACTCATTTTAAGTGCAAGATGAGAACTGAGTTTCAGCACTCAAGCTATTATATTTTACTTTGAGCAAGATATATTGAAGACATTAAATTATTGACATAAAATAATCAGCAAATTACAAATAATAATGTCAAACAAATGTTTGTATAGCTTCAAGGTGAAAATAAAAATTTTGCCACTTTTAGATATTTTTTGTTAACTTTGGTTCAATTGCCACACTTCATGAAACAGGATGGGTAATATTTTAAAGATTTGCACTTGCAAGGAAGAAAGAATTGAACAAATTATTGAATATATACACATGGCAGAAAAAGGTATCATCATTGAAGTGAGATTCATGATAGAAGAAAAACTGAAGGTATTCTTTTAATAATCTAGGTCATCCTAAGAGAAGGGAAATTGCCATGTTACCAGGTGTTGACTAGACCATTTTTAAAGAAATAGCACATACAGCATAGTAAATGTCTAAAAGGTCTACATTATCATAGGGCCTGTGCTACAAATGAAGCTTATGTAAACTTTCCTTGTTAGCCTTTGGTTCCATTGAAGTTAGTATTTTCCTGGTTTGATTCCTTGGAACTCCTTGGTGAATCTTGATAGGACAAAAGGCCCAATTTACAGAAATGTCAACTTGATTCTTTTTCAACCAATTTTCATAGAGAAAAACATTTGACGATTTTATAGTGTGAAGACTGAAGTTTGTAGAACATTTAGAGATTATAGATGACAGCATTAAACAATTGAAAATTACTCCACAATATTCTGAATTTCCCAGTGTTGCCATAGACCTAAGCAAGCGCCTTTATCAGTATCATGTCCTTTACTCAAAGTATACCATGGTCTTCTAACTTGATGAACAGCTAGAAAGTATGACTTAAAAAGTCCTTATGAAAGATCTAAAGTAAAAGTGTTAGGAAAGTGAAGGAATATTTAGATTTACATTGAAAGATTTCAACTCTCATTCATAAGTAGAAAAATATCTTGACTTAAGTATGCAGTTGATTGAAGTTATACTAAATATAGTAAAAATTATAGGACACTTAATTATTCAGAAGCCAAACCACTGAGTTTTAGGGAAATGGAGGAAAATTAAGGTTATTTACATCCAAGAGGGAAATGAAGAATACAAACTAGTACATGCTAGAAGACTGAAAAAATGGAGCCTTTTTGTATTTGCCAAAATAAACTAGATTTACAAGCTAAGCAGGCATCCTTATCCTCTGGAGAAAGATGGACTAACAACCAGTAGGTATGTCAAGTCCAGTGTTCCCTTGCCTCCAGGGTGCCTTCAGGATGGGGCTAGTGTTACTTTATTATTGGTATTAACATAACTTCTTTGTCGATTACTATTTATTGAACACCATCGCACCTTATGGCATGTGCAAGCCTCCTCGAAGAAACAAATTTCAAAAGTGAAGATCTCACAACATGCCCTATCTTTTTCCTTTAGACTTCCTGAAGTCTTAGTTGAATTCTTACCCTTTTTAACTTACACATGAAAAGCTCCTACTGCTTATATCTATTTGCCTGTGCCTACCCACCATCTAGCTTTGATTGGTGCACTCATTGACTGCACTTTTCATTCATGTTGATGCTAGTGTGCATATGAATAGGAAATCCGACATTTGTACATTATATATTATTTATCAATCAGGTGATTGTAGGTCAGTAGATGAACCTTCTTCATTATGACCCCCTCAAAATTGTCGATCACCTACTGTACTCATGTGAAGAAGCCTTTACCACCACCATGTCATTTATCCAAATCATGTGTTCTCTCTCAGCTTGACTTAACAGCCAGCGGGCATTAATTCAGAGTTTCTTAAGAAGGATTAGAATGATGAATGTGAAGACAGTGAGGAATAGTAAAACTTGTGAAATAGTAAATTTTCTGATATTCAGAAAAGCTCTGAATATGAGTAATGTTTTGCTCTTAATTAAAGGAATAACATAAACGGATAGAGTCGGGAAGAATGAAAAGTAATGTGTGTACATTAAGGTATTTGCTAAAGATAAATTTATAGATAAATGTCTATCTAATAGACATTTCACTTGTAGTGGTCACTTCCAATGTCGCCTCTGTTTGAGACCATACTTAAAATAACAATGGCATAATCATTTCATATTCAGGATCTCTTGTCCTTCGTCACCACGTCATTGTCAATTGAAGTGCTCCCTTCTGATCCAAAGACCGAAAGGAAGATTTCATTTCTGAATGCTATGATTTTTATCATAAAGTTAACTGGAATTGTGCTAGGCTTCAATAGAAGTTGCTGCTGGTGTTTTCTTAATCTCTAACTAAACATTGATAGACTTGTGCTGCTGGTGTCTTCTTAGCATCTAACTTACCTGAACTACAGTGCAACTGTTTATACCTACACAGGAATTACTATATATCTCTCTTGTTTTGCTGATCTGACAGTTTGATCTAAGGAAGTATATATCCTGCGCTAAAAATATTCCCTGAATGAAATAGTACTTGGATTAAATTTCAGTCACTGGAAAAATGTTAATGGAGGGCAGTGAACTTTTTCTCCTCCATGAAGTTCATCCAGCAAAAAAATGATGTAACTGCATGCAAATATAAATATCTTAATGTTACCTTTACCTAAGAAATATTTTACACAATGTTCTGTATTTAACAAAGTATGTGAAACCTGTGTCTTAGAATATGGCATGAGGAAAATGATATCAATGCTGTGGATGTAAAACTGTGTTCTGAAATAACACTAACCCCTGTGGGATTTTCTCAAACCTACTACTGAATAAGCGTATTTAAAAACATCAAGAAAGAGAGATGTACTCAGTAGAGGTTTTTAAAATAGAGTAAATCAAACAAAAATAGGTATGAAGTGGCAGTTAATGTTTATATATTTCCAGGCCTAGAATGTGTTACTCATATTTTAGAGTGCTTCTCTTGATAACATATGACAGAAAGAATCAATTCACAATCGTATTTCAAATATTGTGAAATATTTACTTAATGTTTAATACCTGTTATCTGTCATCTTTTATTATTCCCGTTTTGAAGCTCATGTTTTGTAATAAATATCAGAAAGTCTTTTGGATAGGTCAGTTTGCTTGAACTCAGAGCCAAATGAGGATGCACATATAAGAATATGTCTTGGGCTGGGAAGGTTGCTCAGTGGTAGAGTGCTTGCCTTGCAAGCATGAGGTTCTGGGTTCAATTCCTCAGCACCACATAAGCAAAAAGAAAAAAGCTGGAGTGGCACTGTGGCTCAAGTGGTAGAGCGCTAGCCTTGAGCTGAAGAGCTGAGGGACAGTGCCTAGGCCCAGAGTTCAGGCCCCATGACCGGAACCCCCCCCCCCAAAAAAAAAGAATATGTCTTATATGTCATATAAGATTATGTCTAAAGACTTTTTCTTCAAGGCCAGCACTCTAATAGTTTGAACAACTCTGATGCTACTGATGTACAGGTGGTTAATTGGAGAGAAGCTTCTAAAATACTTTACTTCTCTGGTTGGATTTGACTGACCACTCAAAAGTCTCAGCCACCTAAGTAGTTAGGATTGGAGGTATGAGCCACTATAACTCAGGTATGAAAAATTGCACAAGAATATCTTGATGAAAATATCTTGATGAAAAGAACAAAAAGGAAAGTTCATGGGAAAAACCCTGACTGTTCTTCGAACTCTGTTTTAAATGGAAGCAAATTCCTAATACACATGTGCAGTGGTTCTGAAGACATATATTTTCTTGTGTTCAAAACTATAACATGAATGTCAGTAACTTTTGTTTTTATACTTGCTTGATAATGTAGTTTTCTAAACTCATAGGAACAGAAGCATTCTGCTAGTGCTGTACGTACACGAAACTTGCAATTTGAAGAAAATATGATGAAAACAGACCTGGGAAAAAGGAGATAGAATGATAATATCTGTTCATTATTGCATAATCTAGAAGCATTCATGAGCCAAAGAAATAATTTATAGAAATAGTGTTTGGAACGTGGAAAAAATGGTATAGCTTGGTTGATATCTCTTAATGTAAATCAGAGTCAGTCAAATAAAGCAGGATGCCTTCAGTAAGAAGCAAAAAACAAACAAACAAACAAAAACGAAACACAGCAGCAACAACAAAGAAACATTAGTTGGGTTCTTAACCAACATTTTAGACTTTCTCCCTTGAGAAAGGTTTTTGTTAGGTTGATAGGGCAAATAATGTTCAATTCCAGTTCTTCACCCAGGACTCAGATCAACCTGTATTTGAGTCAACTGAAACACATAATAATGGCACGGACTACACCACAGTGTTTAACAGCATTCTAATCTAATCTACTTTTATATAATAAATTTCATTGCAATTATGCTTGTATTAGAATATATGTGCCTTGGTGTAATTTTCTGTAAATGGATATTATATTTTTCTTCTCAATATTCATTGTTTATGCACATATAACACTCTTTTATTCACTTCCATTATAGATGTAGTAATAAAATCAGTAATAAAATAGTTCAATGTATGAGTAGCATTTCTCATAGCAAGAAATACAAAATAAGTTTGAACACAAAATTTCGAGTCTAAATAAGTGTATGGAGATAGACAATAGACAGAGCTTTTTATTAAAATTGAAAAATGACAGTGTGAAGGCATAATAGTCCAAAAATTTTAATTATTCTGGACACTACTTGAAGTCATGAAATTCTCTAATGTGTGTCCAGATATATTTGGGGCAAAACTGATTGAATAAAGGGACACAAACCTTATTTGACTGATTGATTATAGTATGAAATACTGAATTCAATATTGTAACAGGTATGAATTTGAATCTAATCATCTATATTAGTATTTCAAATTCTCCTTTCAGATATTATTCTCTATGGTTATATAAGGTGATAGTCATCAGTGGCAATACTCTGAGATTTCTGCTACCATAGAATAAAAGCCAAAATAACAAAAGGAAATTGCTTATTGAATATTAAAAAATATGTCCACACAAACAAATGGAATGACATAAGGAGAAAGAGAGTCAAGGAAGGCTCTCTATCATTCTATGTCTTTCAGAGTGTGATGGGAAATATGAATATGGGATATTATTTTCTTCAGATAAATGCAAGGATGCATTGTCAAAAATCTTCTTCATGAGAATTTGTCTTGTAAATTATGAGTATTGAACCCTCTGTCAAGGTGATCTCTCTACTACTTGAGCCACAGCACAACTTCCAGTTTTCTATTAATAATTTGGAGCTGAGTCATATGAGTGTGAGCCACTGGCACCTGGATTTCATTTGAATTTTAGAAAAATGGTTTTAATCATTTGAGTCAAAGATAAATTACAACCTTCTAATTTAACATTGGGATTAATGCTAAAAAATCTATTATCTGAACATTTTGTAAATACTGATGTGCCTTTAGCACACAATAGAAAAAGCCATTACAATTTTGCCAATCAGTTTTACATAAGAATGCAATAATCAGTTAATATTTGTTTTTCCCAGGAAATCTTTCATTGTTCATACAAACCACTATTATTTATAGTTTTCTTTTTTCAATAACATTTTTACTTTATTTCAATTTTTAAAAAAAAAATATTATTGCCATCCAACAAAGCAGTTTATGAACCTAATGTGTCATTATCAATGTCACCCCATCAACATTCTCACTCAGCCCCCTAACTACCACTTCCTTTACTTTTCTTAATGTTTTTAATTTATTTTTTATTGTGAAAATACCGTAGAGAGGGGTTACAATTACATGGGCAAGATAACGAGAACATTTCTTATCAAGCATTATTTCCTCCTCCTTTGCTTCTTCTTCCCATCCCTTTCCATCTCCCACCTTCCCCAACCCTCCTATCCCCATCAACTCCCGGCCAAAGTTGCAAAGTTCGTTTTTCAACATCATGACTTTGAAAATACAATTTATTTGCAAAGAGTATTGCACATGAATGAATAATACACTATAATCATTCCTATTGCAGATTGGGCTGGTAGTTCAAACACATTTTATGAGGATTGTCTCTGGAAAGAAAGTTAGAACAGTGTAGTGAATTCAGAAGATGATCAACGGATATGGTGATTTTGAAAAGAGGTTGTTTCTGGTGATGTGCATAATAAGACTGCGATATTTTTTTCATATTGAGCAACAAAATATTGTGTGCAATCTTTGCAGAAATATTTGAATGTAAGTACAATTCTACGGATTGATTCAACACGAATATTTACAAGAAATCCTGGTAAAGAGAGGCTACCTGTGAATCTCGTCATTTTCTTTTCACACTGGATTTTGTAGAGAATGTAGAAGTCTGAAGGAATCAACATAGGAAGGAAAGTAAGTGGAAATATCAAGAGATTGAGTATTTCTGCCCTTCCAGACGTCACTATCTGAAACAAATAAACAAACACAAATTAAAAAAAAAAACATATCCTTGCTTTTAAATTTCTATATTTTTCCAAAAGGGCTCATAGCGGAACAATGAGAGCCTACATATCATGAATAAAGGCATTATCAATGGCTTCATTTTGTGCCTTTGTGCTACGCCCTTGTCCAGCCACAAAACTACTTTACAAGAAACTGAATGTCTGTATAGTAAATGAGAATTTTATGCATGCCTCGATTTTAGAGGGACCATCATTTTTCTATCAATTCATGGATGTTTATCTCAGTGAACTGTGATTAGTGAGAATCCAGTTTGGGACAGTGTTTCAAAGAGTTCCCTGTCATTCTGAATCTAGTATTACCATGATGGAAAAAGTTCATTAATTCATTTTCCCTGCTACTAATTTTATGTGTATTTTTGGCTCAAACGTTCTTAGTTCAAATTAAAAATGTTCATAAATGCTTAAATGTCACCTACTAGAATACACATCAATAATTTTTTCCTATTTCTTGAAGAGCCATGCTACAATATCAAGTTACATTTTACAAATGAATGCATGTGTACTATTTGTAATTGTCACTATTATTAGGCAAATTCTATGAAGACAACCAGTCAAAGTATACTCCATCTGTACAATATGCTTAACTCCTTCATATCTCGTTTCTCCATTACTTATACTTGAACGTACTGTTAGTAAAAGTATCTTGTATATAATAGCATACTGGAACACAATAGAAGGCAGAGAAAACACTGCTGGCTTAAAAGCAGGAATGCCAGTGATGATCAGATTGCATGCTGGTCAGTAGCAGGAAGAATGCTATGTACATATCAAATGTACTGAATTTTAGTAAGTTGAAATAAATAATAAGTAGTTGGATAATGTCCTAGCGTCTGATTGAAATGACAGAAGCACAAGTTGGCCTATCAGTCATAAGATCATGATTCTTATGTGAGAATTATTTGTCATATCCCAAGCGTGATGAACACACATATGGTAGACATTTACAAAACTTGATCATTACTTTTGAGAAGACTTCTGATGGGAATCATTTCTATCTACTTCAGAGAGGGTTCCTGGTAAGCTTTAGTGTGTCTGATTAACTTCATGAGATCTCAAACACTGCCATACCATACTTTCTTTTATCCTTAACGAAGTGTCCATACATTTTGTTGCACTTAGGAATAGGTCTAGATTCTCCATTTACAAACAAATCATGGCCTTCTATTTCTTCTCTCCCATGTCAGTTTGTTTCAATTGTCTCAAACCAAGTTTTATTGTCCTACCAATAGAAATACAGAAATGCTTCAGTTCTTCGGGATTCATAAAATAGCAATTCCAGACTGACAAATGTGTAAACACGAAATGTACAGTCCTCATTATTGTGTGACCTAATATTTAATTTCTAGTTGTTTATTCATAAACACTAGTTATTTAATGATGAATCTTGACATTGAGAATACATAATTGCAGTATCCATATTTTTAATTGTGAAAATACCATAGAGAGGGGTTATAATTATATGAGCGAGGTAATGATATCAATCATTGTTGCCTCCTCCTTAGTTTCCCCTTCCCATTCCTTCTGATCACCATCCCTCCCGCCCACCTCTGGCTCCCTACTTCTTTCCCCCCACAGCGCCCAAGTTGTAAAGTTAGTTTTTCGACATAATGTCTTATACATCTCATTGTTGCAATTACATGTATCCCTATTTAAACAATTTGTTTTTTTCCCTTCTCTTCCACAAAATATGTCAACATCAAATACACTGAAAACAGGGGTTATACAGTGTGGGAGGGTCATACTTATACATATGTTAGAAACATTAGCCAGCAAAAAAAAAAAAAAAAAACTTTTGAGTCCTTATCTTGAGGTTCATTATGCCTAACATCAAGTTATCTGACCATTTCTGCTTCTCTCAGACATATACTCGTTGTTGCAAATAAGGGAAACCATGGGACCGAGGTTTCTTTGTGCCTGGCTTACTTCACTTAATATAATTTTTTCAAATCTTTCCCTTTCCTAACAAATGGGGCAATGTCATTCTTTCTAATGGAGGCACAGAAGTCTATTGTGTATATCTACCACATTTCTTGATCCAGTCCTCTACTGAGGGCCATCTGGTTTGGTTCCATATTTTACGTAAGGTAAATAATGCTTTCACGTGTAATATTTTCAGGTTGCCTGCTTTGACTCCTTGGTTCTTAATCTATTTGGAGTTGCTTCTGGTGCAGCGAGATATATAAGGATCTATTTTTAGTTTCCTACAAGTTATTAACCAATTTTCCAAGCACCATTTACTGAAGAGACTGTCTTTCTTCCATTCTATCCATTCTAGTTTTTAGTTACCTTATTGAAGATTGCATGGCTATAGGTCTGTGGATTCATTTCTGGGTTTTCAATTCTGTTCCTTTGGTCCTGAGGTCTGTTCTTGTGCCAGAACCAAGCTGTTTTGATTACTATGCCTTTGTAGTAGAGTTTGAAATTTAGTATTGATTTTCCTCCAGCATTTCTGTGAAGGAATTTTGTTATTCGGGGTCTTTTATTGTTCCATATATATTTTGGAATTGCCTCTTCCATTTCCTTGAAGAATGAGGTTGGAATATTGATAAGTATTGCAATGAATTTGCAGATAGCCTTGGCAAGTATTGCCATTTTCACGATGCTGATCCTTCCTATCCAGGAGTATGGGAGGTTTTTCCACCTTCTAAGTTCTTTGATTTTTCTTTTTCAGGTTTTTACAATTTCATCACTTTTTTGGATAATTCCTAGGAATGTTATTTTTTGTGGGGCTATTACAAATGCAGTTGCTTTCCTAATTCCATCAATGCTTTTCTCATTGTTGGTACGAAAACTCATTTCTCATCTCTGAGTTTATTTATTTGGTTGTGTTCTCTTCATTTTCTGAGAAGATTTGCTAAGGGTCTGTCAATTTTGTTAATTTTTTCAAATAATCAGTTCTTTGTTTTGTTGATTCTATTTTTTGGATTCTAAATCGTTTAATTCTGATTTAATTTTAATTATTTCTTTCCATCTACTGGATTAGTTTTTAGCTTGCTCCTTTTTTTCAAGGTGGTTCAGATGTCTCATTATGTGTTGGTTTCAGATCTCTCAAATTCGTTGATGTATGATCTCAGAGCTATAAACTTTCCTCTGAGTATTGCCTTAGCTGTGTCCCAGAGAAGCTGGTAATTTGTGTGTTCATTTTTGTGGAACATAAATATTTGAATTTCCATTCTAATCTCTTATGTGGGCCACTGGCGATTCAACAGTGTTTCATTCATCCTCCATGTATTAAAAGGCTTTCTTTGGTGGCTTTTGTTATTGTTTTAATTTTATATGATTGTCTGAGATAATTCAGGGCATGACTTCAATATTTCTGAATTTGGACAGGTTTGCTTTGTGACCTAAAATGTGGACTATTTTGGAAAATGTTCTTCATGCTGTTGAGAAAAATGTGTATTCTGATGCTGCTGGGTGAAATACTTTGTAATGTCTGTTAAATCTATTTGATCTATGCAGTTGGTTAAGGTGGGGTTTCTCTGTTGAGTTTTTGCTGAGTTGATATATCTAGTGGGGATTTTGGTGTATTAAAGCCCCCAAGAATTAATGTGTTTCGGTCTATCTAAGCTTTGAGGAAAAGTAGTGTTTATTGGATAAATTTGAGTGTTCTGTTGTTTGGCAAATACATATTTAGAATTGTAATATCCTCCAGTTGAGAGACCCCTTAATTAATATGTAGCAACCTTCTTTATCTCTTCTCAGTAATTTTAATTTTTATCTGAAATTAGGATTGCAACTCGGGCCTCTTTACGTGGGTGTTTGCTTGTTAGAATTTGCTTGGCAAGGTGTGACTCCTGAAGGCAGCAGATAGAAGGATCTTGCTTTTTTGATGGAACTAGAGAGTTTATGTCATTTGATTGGAGAGATAAGTCCATTCATATTGAGAGTTAGTACTGAGAAGTGTTTGTTAGTTCCTGTCATTTTATCCACGTTCTTGGGGGCTCTAACAACTGGGTTCTTCCTGAGGTTCTTGGTTCTCAGTTTGGATGCAATTCAAGGCCTTTATTGTGGCCTTGTTGGATTTTTATGTGTAGGACATCTTTAAGTAAGTTTGTAGGGCAAATTTGCTGGAGTTATATTGTTTTATTTTTTCTTTGCTATGGAAGGTTCTTATTTAACCTTGGGTTATAATGGGTGCAGTATTCTTGGTTGATAGTTGTTTGTCTTTATGGTGTGGCATATATCATTCCAGGCTCTTCTTGCTTTAATTGTCTCTGCTGAGAAATCTGACGTGATTCTAATGAGTTTCCCTTTACAGGTGATTTCTCCTTTAGCTTTGACAGCCTTAAGGATCTTTCCTTGGTCTGAATTAATCCTGTGTGGTTTACAATGTGCTGGTGGGATATCCTGTTCTGGTCTATTTGGGGTTCTAAAAGCTTCTTGTATCTGAATAGGCCTATCTTTTGCATTTTTGGGAAGTTCTTTGCTAGGATCCTGTTAAATAAATTTCCTAGAACATTAACTGCTGTCTATGTGCTCCTCTACACCCATTATCCTCATATTATTCCTTCTGATGGTAGCTTCTAAATATTGAATAGATCTATCATATTTCTCGGATTTATCTTGGATCATTGTCTATACTTTCTCTATAATATCTAGGATGTCTTTACATTTTCTAACCTACTCTCAAGACTTTCTTCTTTGATTTTTGTTTTCCTTAATGTCTTCAAATATTTGTTGGAGCTTTGTTTTAGATCTTTTATGAACTTCTTTACTTCTTTAATTTGGTGATAACTTTATTCTCAAAACAGTTTGTTGATTGGTTATGGTTTATTTTGCCTCCCATTCCTCCTGTCGGGCTCCATTCAGCATTCCCATTGTGGTCTCCCAGAATACTTTCAGCTACCTATTTCTGGATTCCATAAATGCCTTATTGATCTTTGTCTATTCTCATCCTGCTCTCGAAATTTCTGTATAACTCTTTGATTAGCTTCCTCTCATTCACACAATTCCTGTAGTTCTCTCTGACTATTCTCATCCTGCTCACACCATTCCTGTCTTTCTCTTGACTGTTCTTAGTCTACTCCTGCAATATCTGTATTTCTATTTGACTGTTCTCAGCCTGCTCAAGCAATCCTTGTCTTTCTCTTTGGCTGTTCTGAGCCTGTTTACGCAATTCCTGTATTAATCTTTGGGTACCTTCTTCACACTCAGGAGATTCCTATAGATAATCTTTGGTTTGCCTCCACTCTCTTGTTCACACTTAGTCCTTTGTAGGCTTTCAGCCTTATTATTTCCCATCTTTATCAATAGTGTTTGTAGAGCTTTTTGGAACTCTCCTCTGGATTATTCATTAACTGTTCTGTCATGTAGTTATCAGGAGTAGAAGTTGAAATACCCAGACACCATTTTACTTGTGTTTCTCCAGCATTTTCTGCAAATTTGATATGAAGGTAACACCAATTTCATGTTAGAACACTATTTTGAGGCAAACATCAACCAGAGTCCGGTAGTTGCACTCTCAAAATGGCTGCAGATACAAACAAGCTCAACAGATACAATCTATTCAACATCAAGCAACTATGGATTAATGGGCTAAGAACAGAAAATAGGTATTTGGCAAACAAGAACTTATTAGGTTTAGTTAGAAGTGGGAAAAATAGGATTAGATGAATGTGGAGTGTTAAAAGGAAAGTGAATTTAACAAATTTCTAATTTCAGACAGGGAAATGGATTGGACAGAATGATAGGAGAAGGATAATAATAAAGAAAAAATGGAAAACTAAAAATTTAAATCTAAAAAATGCAACACTGAGAAATTATTCAAGTATGAAGAAATGATAATGAGAAAAGAAAAGGATAAGATGAAAGTACGGGAGGGATAGAAAGCAAACATGAAAAATTTTTAAATAAAACAAAATTAATTACTTGAAAATTATATATGTACAAAACAATAATATTACTATTAAAGAAGTTAAGCCTAACAGGTTGTGAATTGAGCAACAAATTTCTAGATTAAGTATGTACACAATGGGGGATAAGGTCTAATAATTGACGACACATATATATCAGGGGAACATGCATTTTGTCTTCTTACTCTCGCAGTCTAATATTAAATTGAAGAGAAATGGAGGGAATAGACATCTTTCTTTCATTCCAGAATTTAGTTGAAATGGCGTTAGATATCAGTCTTTAAGTATGATGCTGACTGTAGGTTTGTCGTACACAGCCTTTATTTTATGGAACAATGTTTCATGAATTCCTAGTTTTTCCAGAGCCTTCATCATAAAGGCATGTTAGATCTTATCAAATGTTTTTTCTGCATCCATTAAGATAATCATGTGGTTCTTATTCTTGCTCTTGTTGATATAATATATTACATAAATTTATTTGCACATATTGAACCAGCAATCCATCCCTGAAATGAATCTTGTTTGATAGAAATGTATCATTTTTTGGTGAGTTGTTGAAGTCGATTGGCCAAAAGTTTGTTGAGGAGATTGTCATCGATAGTCATTGATGTAATTGTTCTCTTCCTTTGATGAGACCTTGCCTGGTTTTGGGATGAGGGTTACGATGGCTTCATAGGAAGGGTTTGGTAATAAACTTTCACTTTCAAATTTATTGAAGAGTTGGAGTATTCCTTTGAGTTCGGCTTTGAAGACCTTGTAGAATTCAGCTGTAAATCCATCTGGCCCTTGTTTTTCTTCAGTAGGAGGACTGTCATTTCTGTTTTTATTTTGATGCTTGATATAGGTTTCTTCAGTTTGTTTAAATCATCTTAGTTTAGTTTGGGCATGTTAATATTTGCTAGAAATTTGTCCATTTTCCAAATTCTCAAACCACAAAGGTTTGAGAAATGTTTCCTTATAATGTTCTGAATATTGTGTGTGTGTGTGTGTGTGTGTGTGTGTGTGTGTGTGTGTGTGTGTGTGTGTGTGTTGTTTCCATTCTCATGTATGAGCTGCTTTGTATGGTTGAGTTTTCTTGTGTTTCTGATATGGTTTGATAAGGGTCTGTCAATTTTATTTGTTTCCTCAAAACAACTCTTGTTTTCTTTATTCTTTCTATAGACTTTTGGACTCTACCTAATTTAATTCTGCTTAATTTTAATATTTCTTTCCATCTACTGGATTGGGGTATAGATTGTTGCTCTTTTTCTTGTTTTTTCAGGTGCCTAGTTAAATTATTGTTTTCAGATCTCTCCAACTACATGATGTTTGGAAACAGAATACTGCCTTTTCTTCTTCCCAAA